ACAGGGATTCCTGAAAATTTTCCAGTCCCTGAATGTTCTAGGGACATAGTAAAGGTTGTATTTAGATGCCACACTACATTTCAGAGAAAACGTGATTTTCCTTTAAGGGTTTGCTTCCACATCTCCCACCTACACCAAATACACTTTCAAGTTAATAAAAGCTCTTCCTGCTGAGGCAGCAAATCAGGCTATAATTAAAAGGGAAGAAACATTTTACACATGAAAGTGTGTGGTTTGGTTTAAGCATAAATATGAAAAAAAGGCATGAAAGCTGATAACAAGATATAATTTGTATTCATTGTTTTTATTTATTGAACAAACTGTTAGAAGAAAACTTGTTTTAACTATTAACTTACTATATTCTAATACGTCTTTAATGTTTCACATAGCTACTGCATTGGAGCTTGTAAAAATAACTTCAAATTCCAGTGTCAAGTGGAGCATAAGGTTTGGTTTCATTTTCAAAACTGCTTTGCTGAGAAATATATCCTAAAAAGCAATTCTCATTTTACTTCCTTACAGCTCCAACAGCTGCAGGACGAATTATAAAATGTATTTAACCCAATCTGAAAGTTAGAATTTTGATCTCTGAAGAAAGTAGTTTTGAAAGTCTCGCACATGCCAGAAAAAGGATTTAGAACTTTGATAAGGCTTCAGAAAGTAAGAAGCACTGTGAAATTTTGACAAAGAGCTACCTTCTTTTTTTTCCTTTTTTTTTTTTTTCCAAGAATGCTTCAGATCTATACTATACGATTTAATACTGTATTATACATGGATGAGTAGTACTTCACTTTATTCTTGAATTTTTCATCCTTCTGGGCACATCGTATTACCACGGACAAAAAGATATTTTAGACAAACAAATTCAAATGAGCATTTATTTGTTCTCAAATAAGCAAGTGTTACACACATACATATACATCAGCATATATATTTATGTTTTCTGAATATTCATTCAGAATGATTATGCTTTCAAACACTGTGTATCTTTCTGAAGCTGCAGACAGCTCTTTGAGGAGTGGCTGGTTAATAAGGACCCAGAGCCATGGTGATTTTTCAAAGCCTGTCCCAGGGGAACACCACAAATCTCTAGGGAAGGATGGAAATGGTTTACAACACCTTCTGTATGGACTGGTTGCCTTTAGGATGCAGAGCTGCCTTCCTATCCAATACTGGCAGCCTTAAGATAGGACTAATGCCATGTCCTTATCTGCACTTACAGTGCTGTGTCATTCATCATTGCCATCATCTTTGGAAAAAAGTCACAATACAGTGTGACAGTATGTGTTTCTCTGCAGCTATGATAATTTTGGTATCTGCACTAGGGGAAAATATACTTAGACAATCCTTATAATAAAAAATGTCCCATACGCACATATGCTATCTCACTGCTTTTCTCCTTTTACTTTATTAAAAGATTTTTAATGAAATTTGTGAGCACTATGTTCTGCCTAAATAGTATCTTAGGTTATTATGCTTCTCAATATATACATTTGAATGACAAATTAAATGTTTCTTACAAAATGATTGCAATACATTCTGAGATCCTTTGAACTGAAATATAGAAAATATGTAACAAAAGATGTGTGTACCATCTAAATACAGCTATAGATTTGTTTCTTCTCTCTAATTGTTTAGTATCATAATGTCCCCTTTCCTAAGTTCTCCTGTTCCATTAATCTCATCTAATTCCTTTTTAAATTTAACACTTTAAATCAACACATATACCAATATCTTTATTAATCAATCAACCAATAAATACTTCTTAAAAATTATGAGGAGAGCTACAAAAATCTAGAAAACATGTTGCAAACTATCAAGCAGATAATATCCTAACTGAAAAATATGACAATCCAAAAATTATTGGCCGGGCGCGGTGGCTCACGCCTATAATCCCAGAACTTTGGGAGGCCGAGGCGGGTGATCACCTGAGGTCAGGAGTTCAAGACCAGCCTGGCCAACATGGTGAAACCCTGTCTCTACTAAAAATACAAAAAACTATCCCAGTGTGGTGGCAGGTACCTGTAATCCCAGCTACTCGGGAGGCTGAGGTAGGAGAATTGCTTGAACCCAGGAGGCAGAGGTTGCAGTGAGCCGAGATCCCCCCATTGTACTCCAGCCTGGGCAACAAGCACAAGACTCCATCTCAAAAAAATAAATACATAAAATAAAATGATAAAAGTCTATATATTTTAAAATATCTTTCTATCACTTTCTTTACCAAAAAACTGTTTGAGCCATTTGAATAAACGCCTAAAAAGGATTTGTTTGTATTTTTTAGCAAGAAATTGTGGTGTCGCAGGGAAACAAAGCTAGGAAGTCAGAACAATGCAGATCGGAAAGCCTATACAATTACTAGACATAAGCCACAGAGTCAGCACTGAGGAAAACATGATCAATTACAAGACGCAGAGTATCCAAAAGAGCAGGCTAGGTAAAAGGTGAGAGGTCTTTTATTATCACTAGAACTAAGAGAAACTTCCCTATTGATTCTTGTCAGGGGATACAATATGGCTTACTGAGCTACAGCCTCAACAGTAGTCTTTTAATAATGTAATATTGAGCTTCATTTTGCTGTACAACGTTCTTCAAAGTGATGGCAATGATAGACAGTAAATAACTGAGAGTCGCATTGGAGAATTTACATAGGGAATATTAATAGATAGCCAGTCACGGTAATCCAGGCCAGCTGCTGTACCAACCACCCACAAAAACCTCAGTCTCTTAACACAAGAAAGTCAGTGAAATGTAGATTGTGTGTTTCTCTCCAGCAGCTCTCCGTCAACAAGTGACCTACCCTAGCTATCCCTGCTGGCATGCATGGCCTGTAAGAGCCCTGCAGAAGACGAAGAGGCGGGGCCTGGAGAAAGGTACATTGGCTCTTAGCGACTTGGGCTCAGAATGGACACAGTCAGCTCTCCTCACATGCCATTGGCCAGAGTGTGAGAATATGGCCACACCTCACTGCAAGGGAAGCTGGGAAATATATCTTCCGTGTGCCCCAGAAAAAAATAAATAAAATGAGATTTGGTGAATGTATAACATTGCCTCTGCCACAACAGAATGCCAGGCTGAGGAGATTGGATGTCATGTAAAATGCACTAGCCTGGAGTTCTTAAAGGGAAGTGTCAGACCACATGGGATAAACTAATGGTATGAGAACAAAATATTAAAGCTTTTAATCCAACAGTAACAAATATGTATATTATATATTTTATGTATGTATATATATATTAAGAACTATAGGCTGGGCGCAGTGGCTCATGCCTGTAATCCCAGCACTTTGGGAGGCTGAGGCGGGTGCATCGCCTAAGGTCAGGAGTTTGAGACCAGCCTAGCCAACATGATGAAACCCTGTCTCTACTAAAAATACAAAAATTACCTGGGTGTGGTGGCAGTTGCCTGTAATCCCAGCTACTCTGGAGGCTGAGGCAGGAGAATCGCTTGAACCTGGGAGGCGTAGGTTGCAGTGAGCCAAGATCGAGCATTGCGCTCTAGCCTGGGTGACAAGAGCGAAACTCCATCTCAAAAAAAAAAAAAAAAAGAACTATATCTATATATATTATATAGGCCCTAAGTAAGAAGGCCTCATGTCATGATATGCAAGACAAAAAGAGTATAAGTTCTGTGACCTGAAGCATTCATGAGAGATGTCCTTACCTGACCGTGAGCTTTCAATAAATTGTCAGGGGTGCAGTTTCTGTGCACCCAGTTAGGTGGATTTACTGGTTATATTATCTAGTGTTAATGAAAATAAGCCTGATGAGAATGGATACCTGGATTTTTTTTTTTCTTTTTTCCGTTTTACAGAGTGCTGATTGGTGAGTTTACAAACCTTTAGCTAGACACAGAGCACTGATTGGTGCGTTTACAATCCTTTAGCTAGACATAAAAGTTCCCCAAGTCCTCACCCAACCCAGGAGCCCAGCCAGCTTCACCTCTCACAAGGACTACGACTGGGGCTGACCCTGTTTGACCCATGGCAGGCCCGCTCCAGTGCCCAGCGCCCACTCTCGGGGTCCTGGTGCTTCCTCATGGCGCACCCCACCAGGGGATCTGGCACAGGTCCGCAGGTCGGGGAGCGGCCCAGCCCTGCCAGCCACTAGCCTGCAGGGCTCAGGCACCCCAGGGGGTCAGGGGACCTCTTGGGCCTGGCGCCCACCCTCAGAGGCCCTGGGTGGAAACAGATCACGCCTCCCGCACATTCTGTGGCTGTCTCCTGGAAGACAGACCTCCATGGTCACTCCTTCCCCCGAGCAGCTCAGAAGGCCCTTCGTTCTACCATGCTGGCGCTTCTACCTAGGGAAGCCCCCAGGCTGAGGTGCCCCCAAACTAGGTACAGCTCTGCACGGACCCCGCCGTCCCGGCATCTGGGCTCCACATGTGAAGGCCCCACAGATGGCAGGAGCTCCTGTGGGACAGCTCTTTGTCTCTGCCAAACATGTCCTGGGCCCTAGATCTTTGCCCCCATCTGAAGCACTCCCAGCAAACTCAACACCCAAAGGTTGCCATGAAGTCCTCACAACTGGAGGAGTTCACCGTGGCCGTGGCCAGAGGAAGTGATGAGGCGAATGAATCAAAGCTGTGGTATCACCTGCCTGCAGGCCAAGCAGGTGGCAGCGATCGCCAACACTCCCCGCCACCAGTCTGCTTGTGTGCCAGGTGCAGGCCTGCCCACCTGGGAGTTCCCTATCACACCTGGCTCCACCCTCCTTGCCAGGTCTCCACTGTCTTTAGCTGGAGACAAGACCTATATAAGGTCGTTGTCTGTCTGTTGAGAGCCACTGAATGGTGACCATCTCAGTGTATTTTTCCGAGTCTCGGAAGCACAAAAAAACTCAGGGCAACCCAGTCAACTGGAGAAAAACCAGATCCTGCTGCCAGATGCCCAGCCTCCTGTCCTGCTGATGGCCTCTGGGTGGTGGTGCTGACACCACATGTTCACACCATGCCATAGACTAAAGACAGCTAACTAGCAGACTGGCTTTGGGGAAAAGGAATGAATGATGAAATTGAAATTTTTATTTGGGTTTTTAAGAAACAAATAAAAATGTCAAAGCATTTGCATTTACTCAGTGGCTTGGTCTTCTGCACAGTTAAGGACAGGCTATGATATTCTGGATGTCTCAGTGCACAAGAATACATATCACAGGCTTGAACATTTCTGCGGAAATCTTGCGATCAAGGAACATTTCACGAAATTATTTAGATCTTGTCCCTTGCTCCTCTGGACATGCTGTATTTCTTAATTCTTCTCTGTCACCATCTTTGATGTGCGTGAGATGTACATTTTACAGCTGAGAAGGAGCAAAGGAAAGAAAGTGTGAATTGTCTCCTTTGGTGGGCTACACCAAACTTTGGAGATATTATAATGGACTTGAAAATACCAATTAAATTCTTCTGACATACACTATGTGTTCCATAAATGTATTTCCAGAAAAAAATCTTTTTTTGCAACCTCAAATGTTGTGCTGTCACTAATTTTCATAAGTGTCCTTTATGACAACACAGACCTCTCTCTCTGAGATGTGGAAGTGTTACACAACACTCATAAAACAGACTTCTTAATCTTCTTTCTGTTGGTGTCCCCCCAACCTCCTAGCATTTTAAGCAATTTATGCTACTTTTTTTTTTCAGTAAATGTTTGTGTCCATTGGATTATAAGCGTTATTAAGAAATACAAAGACAAAATATTGGTGTTGGGTTTTCTTTTTATGAGTGCTCATCTTTTAAAAATACATAATGAGCTGGGCACAGTGACTCATGTCTGTAAACCCAGCCCTTTGGGAGGCCGAGGAGGGAGGATCACTTAAGGCCAAGAGTTAGAGACCAGCCTGATCAACATGGTGAAACCCCATCTCTACAAAAAATACAAAAATTAACCTGGCATAATGGTGCATGCCTGTAATCCCAGCTACTCAGGAGGCAGAGGCACGGGAACTGCTTGAACCTCGGAGGCAGAGGTTGCAGTGAGCTGATATCACGCCACTACACTCCAGCCTGGACAACATAGTAAGACTCTGTCTCAAATACACACACAGACACACACACAAAATAAAAATAAAAACACATAATAAAGTATGTAGAATAAAATTGTGTGAGCCTAGGGGCTATGCCAACATAATCTAATTGAGGGAAAAGGAGAAGGTGGCGATGAACTAAGACTGGCCATGAGTCGGTAATTGTGGAAGTCCAGCTCTATGTACATGGAGACTCATCATTTTAGTCTCTCTAATTTCATATATATATGAATTTTTCATAAGAAAAAGCTAAAAAAAGACAGGTATCATGGTTTCATTACCTCAACTAATAGTACAGTCACTCCTTCCATTCCGATTAATATATTTTTGTGAGGTACCTGTTTGAGCTATGACAGTCATCAAAAACTAATGTATAAATTAACTCAGCATAATACCAAACCTTGTATCTCATAAAACCTAAATCAGCATTTTCCAAGTTAATGAAGCCAATTTAATCACATAGACCTCACTAAAATACTAACAGTTTTAGAACAAAACATTCATTGCATCTTTAATAATAAAAATACAATTTTATTTTGTAAATACTAGTTCATCTTTACATCACCATTTACATTCTTACTATGCGGCTTTTAACATTTAGTTGTAAATGTGTAGATTTAAGAAATAAACATACATAAATGGGGGGTTACATACCTTTAAAAGTTTTCAGCATAGAGGGCACAGGTCAATGTGTGAGAGCACAGCCCGTCCCCGGGAAGCTGTATCCTATTTGTCCTTGCTGTCATCAACGTGTGGTTCCATGCCTGGCACACATTTCACATTCGATACAGTTTGTCAACTAAGGAGAAAAAAAAGACACTTTGGAGTGGCATACAATAAGAATTTTAGAAGTGTAAAAATAAACTGAAACCCATCTCCTCATTTTCCAACAGGGAGACAGAGGCTTAGGAAGGGTAAATCACAGAGCTAATGGATGTATGGTGAAAGAAATGTTTTAGGAAGGTTAATCTAACATAGACCTGTAGGATGCTTCAGAGAAGAAAACGACGAAGCAAAGGCACACGTTAAGAGATAGCCACAATCATTATAGTGCAAGGTAATGGGAGCTGCACTGGGAGGGAGGGAAGGTAATGAGATGCAGAGGAGGATCTGAAAGACACACAAAACGCTCCTCTGGGCACTGCTTTCTCACTGTCAGTAAGATTTCACTTTAACCTATTTCCACACATGCTGGTATCAATCATGATACCCAGATATTTTTACTCATGGCCCCAAACTGCACAAAAACACATAATTAGCAGTTCTTTTGACTCATCTGGGGCCTCTGAGAGTGATTCATACCCTCCGCTACACAATTATCCACCATAAATATAGTTCAACCTCTGTCTATTCCAAGCAATGGTTCTCTATAATGTCCATTCGTATGCTTTTTACTTCATCCCTATAGGAGTCCCACCTCTTTAACTATTCTTTTGAGATCTCCCATATTTTTTCTCCTCCACCTAAGATAATCTGTCTCAGTGCACATTATTCTGGAATAGAGCAGTAAACAATCTTTCAGAATCCAATGGCAATTTTTGTTTTTCTCCCCCACACGTGCTAAGATCAAAGATGTGTTCAAGTTAATAATTTCTCTTAAAATGGAAATATGAAGGAGTAAATATCTTCAGTGAGAAAAACTAGTTGACCTCTTTTGTTCAAGACCAGTAACCCAGAGGGAATCGAAGTTTTGATTGTCCATAAAAAGGAAAATAATTTGAAGAAGCGTGTGGATAGTGGCTAAGAAAGGCCAGGATAAAGTCTGGGCAAGCAGAAGAAATACACTGGTGAAGCATCTGAGATTCAGAAGAGGAGCTCAGCCTCAAGGTGGGTGGGGACGCTGGAATGGGTGGGTGGGGAAGCAAGAATACCCCAGTGACAAATGTACAGAGGGACAAGGGGGCTGCCAACTGTTCCATAGACTGGAGATCATTGTGTGGCCCCTGCCTGGCCCCCAAGACACTCCAAGCCAGTCCCCAGCTAGCCCTTCTGCTCCAAGCCTGTCAGCACACACTGTATGCAGCCTTCCCCAGGCTTTCACCCTACCTCAGACCCCAGCAAGTTCCAGATCAAGTCTTCTCTCTTCCCTAGATGCTTTTCTGCCTGTGCCAGCCCACTACACCCTTGCCTCTCTGTACAGGATAACCGTCAGAGACAATTGTTTTGAAATTCAAGCCTAGCATCTCCAGTGAAAATAAAGCTCGTTAAGAGCAGTGTTTCTGACATACCATTTTTGTTCTTCCTTCAGAAAAAAGAGCAGGAGTAAATGAATTAAGAATGATACTTTAAAACAATCAGTATTTCCATCCTGGTTTTGTCCAGCTATTTAAAACAGTATACAATGTACAGCTTTAGAAGCAGCCTCTTATTTGAGGGTTGGTTTATAAACTGCATGGTTGAAAATACATCCCAGCCCAGGACTTTACAGCTGATGATCAAGAAATGAACAAAGCCGGAGCCCAAAAAGACCAATATAGTCAATGTCCTTGGACAAATGTCAGCAGCTGCCAAGGAAGATTTCATACTTAGAATGGTTATTCGACTAGAGATTAGTTCTATTATAAGAATTTGTTTCCTCTGCATAAGAAAAGTTTGAATACATTAAGTAAGTGAGAGTTCTAGATGCCTGGGGACATAATGAAAGTTTTAAAAATAACTAATTACACTGTTTTCCAAGTGGGTTCAAAGATTTTCAGCAAAATAAAAAGAAGTTTTGTTTTTAAAATAAAGTACACCAAAGGAATAATATACTTCTGTATTTCGGATGGCTAAAGCTTAGAAATATGAACCCCAGAGTTTCATTTGTGCCATTTATTTATTCACTTATATACTCACTCATTGAATGTCTATTACATGCTGGGCATTGTGCTAGGTGCTAGAGAAGCAGGGAAAAGGAAGACATCTCACCCACAAGGATGTCAAATTGTGGGAGAAAGACATTGTTCTTAAATATGCCACGTTTTAATAGGAATCTAAACTTATCTTGGGCTTGAGGCAATAACTGAGTAATAGATGCCAGGTTTCATAAAATACCTAGAGGAACTGTGTGAATTAGGCAGTTAGAATTATACAAGTAAAGACTGTGGTTTCTGGAAATCAAGAATAAGCTACAAGATAAGACATCCAGGGTGTCCAAACCTATCCTAGAAATCCTATAATCACCAGGAAACAAGCTAGATGCCAATAGTCCAGAAAAGCAGGACATGTGCCAAGAGCTACCAGAGTTAGCAGAGGTGAAAGACAGTCCAGAGGTTGACAAAGTCAGGCTAGATTCGAAAAAGCAGGAAAGTCTCGGGTTAAGATGGGCTAGTGATCTAGAATCATGGACATTCAGTCAAGCTCATTTGTGTTCACAGGGCAGAAGTAAACCAAACCTTGACCACAGTAAACGCATATCTGTCACAAGCCTACCACGTGCCAGGCATTTGGCTAGTCACTTTATATAAAATATCTCATTTAGCTCCCCCACCCCAAACTGTAAGAGGGTTGTTCACAGATGAGAAAATTGAGACTCAAAGAGATGAAATACCTTACCCCAAATAGCAATGATCACCTGCCGAATCGTGAGTTATTTACAAATGAGAAAATGGAGACTCAGAAAGATTAAATAATTTGCCCCAAACCACAGTGATCATCCTGGTAGAGCTAGGATTCAAACCTTGAGGTCTGGCTCACAAGTCTGTGAAGTGAGGCTTATCTCTCTACTTCCTGCCTGGAAAGGCACACTGAAAGTGAGTCCAGAAGCTGAGGGAAAAGTGAGGAACCTCTGACTGCAGATGAATGTAGACAAGCCAGCTAAGAGAAAGGGAGCAAGGATTAAGGGCAGATAATAACAAAGTGATCCACGGGACTTCCACTGAATGATCAAATTAGATTTCATGTGACAGGTTTTTGTTTTTGTTTCTTGAAGTTTTGTTTTGTGCAAAATTTCAAGACAGCAGTGATTATGTGATTAGGTGTCTTGGCCCCTTTGATGTTGGCTCCGTTACTGCATGCCCAACTAAAGCTTCTAATAGCTGGGGACATTTCAGAGGCTGAACAAAGAGTTTATTAAAGAGAGTTACTCAGGAAAAGTGAAGACCAAAGAATGGAAGATTGGAGGCTGTTAAATAAAACCAAGTAGTCTGCCTCCGCTACACCACGTATCACCAATGGAACAGCCAGGACTAAGCCTGCACCAGGGAAAACCTCTGGGTCCCTGCTGATAGACACATGGGGCTGGTGTGCGGCTCTGTCTCCATGACTTTTAGTTCTAGGTAGGATGCGCGCTACTATCAAACCCTCTGTTGAAACTGAATTTAAATTCAACATTAGCAAATAGTGAGTGACTGAAATAACGAGAATGCCTTGTCTGAGAGTTCTTTTAGCAGAAATTAAAGAATAGTCAAGACTATGAGCATAGGAAGACACGAACACAGATGCAGAAGAGGCTATTTCAAAAAACGTTTCACAGTTTCACAAGATGAAAAAATGAAAAGGAGAAAGAAACCTGCCCACACAACCGAGGGCACTATCTTGTTTTGGACTAGGAAGCCATATTATACTGTCTTCCTACTCTTCCTATCATCCCATCTCCACAGCCTTAGAAGGCAGCCCCGGAACCAAGGGCCACCTCCTGCGGTTCCGAGCGTCGCCTCAGCAGCCGCACCCACGGCGCAGGCTCGGTAGGCGGGGCTGAAGCCTGTCGAATGTCGCGAGAGTTCCCAGCGCTGGCGGTGGCGCCAGGAGACAAGCGCTGTGTAGCTGCGCTTCCGCAAAGATGGCGGCGGCTGCGGGGAGCTGCGCTCGGCTGGCGGCCTGGGGCGGAAGACTGCGACGGGGGCTCGCTGCCAGCCGACGGGCTCTGCCGAGTCCCGGCCCCTTGGCTGCGGCAGTGGCCGGCGCCGCCCTGGCAGGAGTAGGAGCGGCCTGGCACCACAGCCGCGTGAATGTCGCGGCGCGCGACGGCAGCCTCACAGTCTCAGCACAGGTACTGGACGAACTCCTTCTGCTATAGCCCCAGTCAAGCTCCTCCCTCCCCTGACGCCCTTGGCGGGGAGTGGTTTGGCGCTGGGCGGCTGTCCCGGAGCCGTGGGTGGGGGCGCCGCTGCGGGTCGGGGCGTCCTGCGACTGGTGGGACTCGCTGCTTCCTGGACTGGCCCCCGCCCTGAGCCCCCGAGGGCCTTCGAGGCCGGTGACGGGAGATTCCGCCTCCCTTGGGAGAACCCCGCGGACGCTGAACACCACAACCCGCAAACTGGCAGCAGTAATTTCGTGGCGATGAGTGTGGGCGGGTCTTAATTCAAGGCTCCTAATTCAGAATCTCACTGCGCCTCGCCCCTTCCTCCTCTATGGTCTTTGAAGTGGCGTTCACATCCACAGGTGTTTTGCGTCCAGTTACCCCGCTGGGATCTACCTTTGTTAACCTTTGTAAGTTTTACGACCTCCTCTTTGCATAGCATGAAGAAGTTCTGTCGATTGCTTTTTTAAGTCACGAAGGTGTCAGCCATAAAAATTAACCAGTTGATTTCCAGATTTTATTATCAACTTTAAGGAACATTATTGCATGATTATAAACCTTAATATCTTAGTGGACCATTATAAGTTCTAAGCAAAAATTGCTCCTAAAACCTCCATCTATTAAAGATAAGAGTCGGCCGGGCGCAGTGGCACACGCCTTTAACCGCAGGACTTTGGGAGTCCGAGGCGAGTGGATCACCTGGGGTCAGGAGTTCGAGACCAGCCTGGCCAACATGGTGAAACCGCCCCGCCTCCCCACGTCTCTATTAAAAATACAAAAAAATTAGCTGGGCATGGTGGCGGGAGGCTGAAGTGGGAGAACCGCTTGGGCCCGGGAGGCGGAGGTTGCAGTGAGCCGAGATCAACCCATTGCGCTCCAGTCTGAGCTACAAGAGCGAAACTCCGTCTCAAAAAAAAAAAAAAAAACAGATTCAAGTTCCCTGTTTCAAGATAAATAATGTAACGCATTTGAAAATTTGAATGAGTAGTACTTTAAAATTTTTGTAGACCTAATAAGTTTTTACGTATGAGCTTTTTTGAAAATTGAAAGTAGTGTTTTATTATTTTCTTTTTTAGATTTACATTATGCCTTTCTAGCGAAAAACTCAAGGAACATTCAGATACAACAAAAAAGAGAGGAAAGAAGGCCTTATGAATTAAAATTAAGTATTGGCAAGTGATATTCCTTATTTGTATTAATAACAAATTATTATAATATAAATTATATTAATGTAAACATGATATAATGGAAAGGTCTATCATCTAGTGTTTTTATAGCATTTTTGTGAATCTTGTACCAAGGAGTTCAGTGTATTCATCGTTAGTTTCTCTCTCTCTCCCCTTGATTCATCCTGTTTTTAAGACCCTTAGATTAATCTTCTGTGGAGTATCACTTTAACCACACAGTGTACCCTTCTTCAGAAACCATTAGTGTCTCATTTTGCTGACAGTAAAATGCACTTTTTTTTTTTCTGAGACGGAGCCTCCTCTCTCTGTCGCCAGGCTGAAGTGCAGTGGCGCGATCCCGACTCACTGCAACCTCTGACTCCCCAATTCAAGTGATTCTCCTGCCTCAGTCTCGCGAGTAGCTAGGATTACAAGCATAGGCCACCACGTCCAGCTATTTATTTTTATTTTTTTGTATTTTTAATAGCGCCGGGGTTTCACCATGTTGGCCAGGATGGTCTCAATCTCCTGACCTCATGATCCGCCCGCCTTGGCCTCCCGAAGTGTTGGTATTACAGGCGTGAACCACCGGGCCCGGCCAAAATGCACATATTAAAACTTTGTCCTTCAGAGCCCTTTGAGTCACACTCTGACCTGACACTACTCAGGCACCGTCCCACTAAAGTGATTCACTCACTATCCCTAGAACAAGACTTAAATACCACTCACCCCCCAGCAGCAATTTGTAGACTCTTGATTTCACTTACACATCTAACTGGTTTTTTTCTGGCCCACTTCTAGTCTTTCTCCTTTTAAATCCCTAACTTGACTCTGAAAACTTCACACTAGTGTAGTTATTTTGGATTCTCTTCCCAACTCTCAGTTCTCCTTCCCTGCAGCTTTGTAAGTTTAATCTTAGCTAAAGTAATACAGAAACGATTTTATTATCAATTGTTTAATAAAGTCTGTTGGCATAGCATTTGCCTGATCTACTGTTGGACCGAGACAGTGGTTCTCATCCTTTTGCCACCACGGTGGACATTCCTTTCAGCATCAGTGGCTGAATACAGTAAGGATTGAGAGGACTCGTAGCTTGAAAACTTTGCCTTCACCTCAGTGATTTTGATACATTTCCCTAAGATTTGGGCCTGTTAATTCTCCTCTGCCACCACTACTTTGGGGACAGGTGTGCATAGTTGAACTAGATACATACTGGAATTTTGATTTGTGATGAATCTTCCATCGCCATACAGTTTTATGCATTAATACGATTATGTTGGTATTCCAAGTTGGTAAAGTCTTCCTGACGTGCCCCTATAATGATAGTGAACACGTCTGGCTGGGCGCGGTGGCTCACGCCTGTAATCCCAGCAGTTTTGGAGGCCGAGGCGGGCGGATCACGAGGTCAGGAGATCGAGACCATCCTGGCCAATACAGTGAAACCTCATCTCTACCAAAAATACAAAAAATTAGCCGGGCGAGGTGGTGGGTGCCTGTATTCCCAGCTGCTCGGGAGGCTGAGGCAGGAGAATGGCGTGAACCCGGGAGGCGGAGCTTGCAGTGAGCTGAGATCCGGCCACTGCACTCCAGCCTGGGCGACAGAGCGAGACTCTGACTCAAAATAATAATAATAATAATAATAGTGAATATGCCCTTCATTTTCAGTCGTTATACTAAGTGCTTTTTTCCAATAAAAATATAAATTTATATTAATGAAGTCCTACACTTTTCTAGTTCCCATTGTGACCAACAGCCTGCATTTTTGAGGGTCAGTCAGGAATTAAGGGTAGAGTTTCATGTCGTGAAACAGTAGATAAATTGAGACCTTCCTTTTTTCTTTACTTTCTTCCTTTCACAAGTATTGAAATCTTACTCGGTCCTTGACAATATGCCAGGAGCAGGGACTGGAGACACAGTGTGTGTGCTTACAGTTTAATGGGGAAGGGCAGTTTTAATACAGTGTGATCAGTGCTGTGGTCGGGTTAGATGCTGGCTGCTGTGGAAGCATAGTGGAGGAGTATTTCACACAGTCTTGGTTTCCTGAAGGAATCATGTGTAGGTTGACACCTGGAGGGTGATTGCAAGTTTGCTAGGCAAAGAGAAGGGGAAGAGTTTCGTTGGCAAAGGAAATAGCTTTACAGAGGTCTGAAAGTAAGAGTTTGACTCAGCAGAGTAAGAGCTGCGAAAGATGGGGTTCAAAACTGGGTTTGAGCAGTGGCTGGGAATCAGATCATTAAGTGTCTCATAAGCCATGTGACGTTAATTTTTATCTTGAGGACAGCAGGAAGCCGTTGCAGGATTTCTTAACCCTCATGGAGCCCCATATGTCCATGCATAGAATTTAGGGGATCTGTGAACTTAGAAAAAATACTACATTTTTGTTTTCATTGACAAAATTTCATTGACAAAAATTTTGTTTCATTTTTGTTTTCATAAATTGTTTAATGTTTTCTTCAATTCATTTAATGAATGTAGGGAACAAGCCATAGTAATATTACAGTAACTGCCTTTGTCATCAACAGAAATCTCAGATATTTTCCTACTATATTAGAGTTGTTATGAGTATTTCAGAGTATCACTTCTTCAAAATGAAAGTGCTTTTTAAAACTGCCACCATATCAATTTAATGCGTAAATAAGTCCATGTAATACTGTATCACAAATTTGTTTGTGACCTTTGGAAAGAGTATTGGGACTTTAGTAAAGAGAGTGAATTGAAAATTAGATTTAGGGAGCTGTTGCAGTAATTCAGGAGAGAGTTGATGATAGCTAAATTAGTGGATGAATTTAAAATACATTTAAAAGATAAATTAGTAAAGACTCTGAATTGCAAGTCTATGTATTGTATTGTTACACCTGGCCAACAAAATAGTGCCTCCAACAAAGAAATTCTTAGTGGAACTTGTTTTAGATCATGTCAGCACATCAGTTACTTCTATGTAAACTGCTGCTTTTGAAATAACATTTGAAAACTTTTTTAAGCTTTTAGTATTACTCCCATTACAATGTTATATTTGATTCAGACATGTAAAATCAGAAACCATAGGAGGAGATAGATTTATTCTCTTGTTCCAGTCCATTCTGCTGTAAAAGGATAGCTGCATTCTTAAGCCTTGATACATTTTATGAAATTATAAAAAGTTATTTCAATGGAGAAAGGAGGTTTAGGAACAAGAGAGTTTTAGAGTTGCAAGGGTGAAAGTATTTCTTTCCTGTAGGAATTTAAATAATAAGTGTTATGGCAGTGGTCCTCAACCTTTTTGGCACCAGGGACTAGTTTCATGGAAGACAATTTTTCCACTGACGGAGATGGGGGTGGTTGCGGGATGTAACGGCTGCACCTCAGATCATCAGGCATTAGTTCGATTCTCGTAGGAGTGCAGCTCACAATAGGTTTTGCGCTCCTGTCAGAATCTAATGCTACTGATCTGACAGGAGGGGGAGCTCATGCGGTAAGCTCTTTTCACCCACCACGGACCTTCTGTTGTGTGGTCTGGTTCCTAACAGACCATGGACCCTTACTGGTCCATGGCCCATGGGTTGGGGACCCCTGTGTTGTGGTTACTATTGTATTTTGTTATTAGAAGCTAGAATCATATATTGGCAAATCCGAACTGATTAAAACAAACCTCCATTTCACTAAGTAGATATTCAACAGTAGATGATGAGACTAAAAGTAAAGCTTTCTGAATCATTACTTCTTTTTGTTTGTTTGTTTTTGGAGATGGAATCTTGCTCAGTCACTCAGGCTGGAATGCAGTGGTGCAATCTCGGCTCACTGCAACCTCCGCCTCCCGGGTTCAAGCAATTCTCCTGTCTCAGCGTCCCGAGTAGCTGGGACTACAGGTGCATGCCACCACGCCCAGCTAATTTTTGTATTTTTAGTAGAGATGGGGTTTCACCATATGGGTCAGAGTGGTCTCGAACTCTTCACCTCAGTTGATCCATCCACCTCAGCTTCCCAGAGTGCTGGGATTACAGGCATGAGTCACCGCACCTGGTACCATTACTATTTTAAGTCATTGTAATAATGC